TGTACTTATGCAACAAGAAAAGGTCATTGCCTATGTTTCAGGCTATTGAAGAATCATGAAAGAAATTGTCCCATACATGATTTGGAGCTTGAAGTAGTTGTGTTTGCACTTAAGATATAGAGGCATTATCTGTGTTGAGTTAGATAAAGTATTTACAGATCATCAGAGTTTAAAGCATATATTCACTCAGAAAGAATTGAATATGAGGTAGAGTTTTTTAAAGATTATGATTTGGATATTTAGTACCATCCGGAGAAGGCAAATGTAGTGACAAATGCATTAAGTAGGAATACTTTAGGTAATTTGAATTGTTTATTCACTTAGCTGGAGCAGTTACTTAAAGATGAAGTTAAAACTATCTTTAATTAATTATAATGATGACAATACGGTTCAATTAAATCAGCTGACTGTGAGGTCCACTTTGAAAGGTAGAATCGAGGATTCATTAGCAAGAGACAACAGTGTTTAAAAAATTCTGAAGAAATTTCTATAGAGTGTGTATTTATTTAATTAATGTTAATAGAAAGTTTTATTGAATCGGGACTCAACATAAGGAAATTTTAGCTTGAAAAGAGAAGGTGAAGTGTGCGAGCTAATAGAGGTGGGAAATCAAACCAAGTAAATTTCAGTAAAGTTGGAGTTTGGGTGCTTATTGAGATACAATATTTTGTTTAATTAAATAGATATTATTAAATATGATTTAATGAAATTAAATAATAGTTAAAGAAAATTTGATTCAATGCACTTGAGCTTTGGATCGTGGTTTGGCCAAAAGAAATAAAGTCAAAAAGGAGGTGATTGCAAAAGAAAGTAATCAGAGGATTAAGCTTGTAAAGATGCTATTTAAGGCAAACGTGAGTAATTAATTTTTTATTTGCATTAAGTTAATGTTTTAATAAATAATTTATTTAATGCTTTGACACTTATTTTTACAAATATATGCATATAGTGAGCTTGAGAATTAAGCGAAAAAAATGAGAAAAGGAAAGATAATTGTTCAATGTCTTTAAAAGGAGGTAATTAAAATAAATGAAATATAAATGATTGACAATCAAGATTGCCTCTAGATGATACTAGCAGATGATGAGATGTATCCGTGCACAATACAAAAAATCAAAATGGTGAAGTTGTAACTCGGTGTAAATTTTTTATGATACCTACGGGTACAATTTTAAAGATACATTCGAGTATGACGGTAATCCTGATATGACTTCTTCAAGAGATTAAAATGAATAAATACTTAGAATGAAACAAAAATATTAAATTTAAAATAAAAAGTTTACAGTTTGATTAAGTAATGAATTTAATTTCTTTTGATCATTCATGCATATTTGCATATGAATTTAATGCATAATAAGATTATAATTGCTCACCGAGCTGTGAAAACTTATTGTTAAATTTAATATTTGCATATGAATTTAATAAATTGTAAATTGTTATGTCTGATGAGGGTTTTAATTTACAGGAGAATAACTACAACTGATAGGTACTATATTGTGATGTGATTATAGAGATACTCTTGGGAGTGGAATGATATGTTTTTATTTGCAGACTATGGATGATTTAAATTTTCATTTAAGGATCATTCGGTTTGCTAAAAATGAAATACAATGTAAAAGATTTGTAGAACACTATAATTACAGCGTATTTGAAATATTTTCAAGTTATTTGGTTAAATGTAAAATAAACATAACTTTATTTATTTATTTATTTATTTTGAACTAGATTGAAAATAATGTATTTACTTGGGTAAACAGTTGCACGTGGAACTCGATGATAGGAGGCAATGACGGGCAATGACAGGTAGGGACGGCGGCAGGCGATGCACGATGAGGGACGGCGGGCGACGATGGGGGACTGCAGTGAGGGCGGGCGACGGGCCACGCATGCTAGGGGAGAGGCAAACCGCTGCAACAAAAGCGGTTGGCAGGAGATGGCGGCGACGAGAGTGGGCGATGGCGTCGGTGACAAGCTGCAAGCAGCTTGATGTAATTCAAATTCGGTCAAATCAGTCAAATTCACAATTCATTCAAAATGAACCATGGTGTAAACTTCAAAATCATTAAAATTTTATATTGTATTTGTAAATTTTCATACCAAACACATATTTTTCTCAAATCCCTACAGAAAAAATTACAGTACACTAATTCACTCAACCAAACGGCCCTTTATGTATTTTGTAGTTTATAGGTGAGCCTTTTATAAATTGAAATTTATGAAATTCTGTGGAATATAAATGAAAGATTAATACCTTCCGACCACAGCTTTTAACTTGATTAATTCTAAGTTTTCAGGTCGGGTCGTAGCAATAATGATCTTATTTTACCATAACTCAACCAAAAATCTCCATTGTTGTAGAGATTGTGAGTCAACACATTCAAACACCCAAACAAATATAATAAAAAGCTATTAGATGCATTATTAGGTATAAGCAGTCACCATGTAAAAGACATCCTAATGTTTAAGCCTTTATATAGTGAAAATTATAGATCAATTGATATTAAGTTCTTAGTACAGAGCCATGAGAGATCTCATATGTGAAATGAAGTGGGGTAAACCCATTCTTGGGGATTTTTTTCTTTTTTTGCACAACCTCTTGTATTAAATTTAAAACTAATAATCTCCAATTTCATAAAAGAACAAGACACAATACACTTAACTTTAATTTCATTTAATATGGAATGCTATTAAGGACAATCGTTACTTAGTAGCTTCCTAGCAAAGAATACAACAACAACAACAACAACAACAACAATAACAACAACAACAAAGCCTTAATCTTATTACATGGGGTCGGCTACAAGAATTCTTTTTTTTCCATTGCGTCCTATTTAGCGTCATACTTCCATTTAGTTCTAATAAATTAAGATCATTTTTTATACAATAAGCCCAACTCTTCCTAGGTCTACCTCTGTCTTTCTTAACATAAGTCCAATCTAAAACATCTACTCTCCCAATCAGATTATCATATGGTCGACGTTTAATGTCACCAAACCATCTAAGGCGACTCTCTCTAATTTTGTCCGTCAATGGAGCTACATTAGCCCTATCATGAAGATATTCATTTCACATTTTGTCTCTAAGTGTAAGGCCACTCATCCACCTAATAATTCTCATCTCGACAACACTTCAACACTTAACTTAG